ATGGTCAAATCGATGTCACTGACGAAAATTAATGAAGGCTCACGGGAAAATCTTGAATAACTCTTAAAATAACATAAAATTGTTTATTATATTTTCCTTCGGTTTAACCTCCAAGCAACACTAAAATGGTCCTTTAGATTACCAAAATGAGAGACAGCTGCAAATGATATCCATTTAAAGAAATTCACTTTCAAACGCCAACGCTACACCGCTTAATGACCTCCCTCGACTGTTACTTTACCTACATCCATCCTTGACTTGTTATTTGGATATGTATGGGACTTTGTTTTATCTTTTGGCATTATATTTATTCCCCCAAAAAATGTGTTTTTATAACCTTTCAATAACGTTAACTGCGTCTTCCTGGTAAAATTGACAGATATAACATCACGACAAAAGATGTACCGAGGAATTTTGATGCCTCAAATAACAATGAGTGAGTATAAAGGAGTAATGAAACTGATGAGGATAATGGCTTAGAATTTCCACCCCACCAGCGAATACTCTGAATTCATATTGTCGAATTGATAATGTTTTTATTTGTTCGTTTGTTTGTTTCTTTTTTGTGGTTCAAGTTTACTAGCATAATTGACGGTTAATTGTAACAATCCTGCATTTCCCACGGTCGAACGCTCGGCGGTTTATTCCTGGTCATGTGACGGTTAACCCCATTCAGGACCCCCCTCTAAGCCATGCGTAAACTGTGATGAAAATATTTTAAAACAGGAAAATATAATTGTGAGAAACGATTGCTTTTTTAGCGTCAAAAATGACCCTACAACACTTGCTGTTAACGGCAAAACCAAGCTTCAACTGGCCTTGAACACAGCTCAACTGGGTCGAACATTCCAGGACAGATCGCATGTAATCATCATCAAGCCAAGAAAGTTGTTACCAAGACGATTCCAGAATTCCAAAATCTACTACATCGGAGGAATGGGAAAGAGAGGAAACATCGTTCAGACTTATCCAGCCATGGAATATCGCTTTACCCCTGAACGTATCAATGTTACAACAAATGATGTCTTGTGCTTCGCTTGGTCAGGTGAGTCAGTGACGATCTGTCATATTCTCTGAACTGAAACTTGTGAACTTATTATCAGAGGGAGAAGGTTTCTTAAGAAATTGTGGTGCTGCGTCACTGGGGGTATTACAAAGTAATTTGACTTATCAACTAGTTTGGCTACCACAGAGTGTTTCTAGGGCTGAGGAAACCTTAGAAACTCACTACGGTGGCCAAATTACATTTTCAACTCAGTTGATAAAAACTAATTTAACTTATTGTTAGACCAGCTTAAATGCTGAAAAGGGAATGCTTCAGTCGACTTCTTCCCCGTGCGATGTTATCCTCGGCATAAGGGAAGCAACCAAATATTAGTTTAGAAAGATAGAAAAATAAAAATGAGGGAGAAGTTTTATTCGGATCGTTAAGTCCATAAACTTGAAAGTTCGGGGTAAATTAATTAAAGTGCATAAAAACCACAAACTAGTTACGTAATAAGTTAAAGGCGTTTTCTGAAAACATACAATGGAAAATGTGAAGCCTGCGAATTAAGTGATCTGAAGAAATTTCCTGACGTATCAACTAACTACTGGGTATGGAAATGTGACCTTAAAGATTCTTCCAAATAGAAAAACAATCAAACAAACACAAACAAATCCCATCATAATATGAAAAATTCGAATCAATGGCAGTATCTGAACAACAACGCACCTTCCCCTTCCCTAATCAAAAATTAGCCCTAACTTGTTATCAGTTGACTGTTGTTAGGGGAGGGGTAGGTGCGCAATTATTTATTACATTGATCGAAATATTTTCGATGATAAGACTAAAACGTCACATTTTAGAGATATATCCTGGCATCAAAATTTTGTGGTTGTTAATTTTGCACTCTAACTGAAGTGGATTTTCCTAGATCTCCCAATGTAAGTTCCTTCAAGTTAACCATCTCATGAAATAACACGTCACAGGGGTATACTGAGCCTAATGAAAGCTCCCGGGGAATTAAAGTAGACAGGAAGTTTGGGTTGGTTTTCAGCTTAGTTTTGTCACTTTTCTCAGTGCTTTCAGCGGTAGGGATTACCTTTTCAGGAAATAACTTAGCTAAATTAGTATTTTTTATTTCAGGTTCCAATGATAATCGAAATAACGTGGCAGGAGAAGGGCAGAGAGGTTAGTTGCTTCGAAGGAATTTACTCGTCTGCTCTATATTATGCCTTCATAAACCACCACATAATTATGAACGTTAATTCTACACTGACACGATGAAAATTTTTCAATTCAATAGTGCACCTGCTACCCACAACACGGCTCTTTTTTCAATTTCAAGGAGATAGCCGGGATGGTTTTTTATAAAACAGTGATGTCATCGGGGCGAAATTTTTGGTGTTCGAGTTGTCATGAACGAGTTAGTAATTATTTTTAAAACATTCTAAACCAGTAGCGGGTTTTTTTGCGGTAAATCTAACTATGGACGGCACGACTGACTTTTTCAGGACGAATCCGTTAACCGGAATAGCTGCAGAAATTCTAGATAGAAAATAAAACAAAATAAAAACTAAAAACAGCAAAAACCAGATTAAAATCATCCTCTTCCCCAGCGACTGAACATTTCCCTCTTGCATTCTCTAAATTCTCCCAGGATCAGACAGAACAAACGTGTGCTGGATAAAGGAAGGATGCCAGTCTCTCACACCAAAGGCTTGTACGAGCCTGCCTCTTGAAGTAGTTGAACAGGCTGATAAGTTTTCTGCTGACAAGTTGAATCTTCACCTCAATACTGGATGTTACAGCGGAAACGAAAAAAATCTGCAAGCTCAACTGAACAACGCCCCAGCTTCCTGCAACCCGCCTTGCTTCCGCATCAAGAGGCCTGGGACGTACTGTTACATGGGCACGCGAAATAACAACTTCTCCAACCGCCGTCACATAGGACAGATCACCGTTACTTAATGTAGTTCGTTGTGGTAACTGGAGCTAACATTGTTGGGAATCATTTTTCCTATATAGTAGTGAATTTTTTTTTATTCCATTTAACAGTATTTCCTTTAATTTCCTTGTTTGCCTTTTGACAATGGTTGCTTACAAGTAATCGGTTGTATGTCGATCCTCACAGTTTACACACGCGTTTGCATTTCCTAAAAAGAACGCTTTCGTTTAGCAGTATTATAATTATAACTGTAAAGTATTTTTTACCAAGATGGGAGACTGAAGCAGTAAGCATTTCAATTTCTGTGTTCTCTACTTATCTAATGCTATAAAAAGGGAAAACAGCAATTGGTGTACATTCTTAACAAAGTTATATAACGAGTAACAAAATGCAGCTAAGGCTATAAAAGATGAAGAGAAATAAAGGTCAAATAACCGGAAAGCCAGACCAACTCCGTTGGAGCTTCAAAAGATAGTTGTTTCCGGAAAATCTTCCGAGCTGGTAACTTTTCTCGTGAACCTACAGCTAACAGGAACACTAAAAATCCAATTTCCCATGAGAATTCAAACCACAAACATTCCGGTTTTGCATTCGAAGTTCTCCTTGCCCCCAAACTTGGTCAGAGAGACAGATATTTTTGTTGCACTTACCTCATATGAGTCCAAGTGTTTTGAAACACTGAATTGTCTTTATTACTAACCAACTGCTAATTTCCAAAAGGGGGCTTCAAGTTAGCTGTGATACCGCATTCAATTAGGTACCCATGTCGCTTACTACGAGACAACAAAAATGCCGCGGTCGTGTCTTCTAGCTGTGCTCAAATGTCGTGGAGTTTTGGCATCATTCTACACTTTCCAAAATATTTCAGCCAAAGTTTTACAGCGATGGTGATATAATGATGCCTGCGTTGCTTCTGCTGGACTTCTAGTCCTGCCAGTGCCTTGAAATCAATTTCATGACGATTCAACAATCATCCGATCACATTTTCACTCTATATTTGTGTGATCTATCTTATTTTTCCGATGATTCGGATGCGCTCACTTCATTTGAGAAAACTTTCAATTTTTAAAAAGGAGTTAGAATTGCAGAAGTTTCAGAGTCGACAAAAGAAGAACTAATAAGCTTAACCAAAACCTTATGAAACACTGTCTTTAATTTCTGTACTTCTCGCTTCCCTCTTGAATCTTAGCGATATGCTCCCCTGTAGAGCTCGCTTGGAAGGTCAATCGTCGAGTACGGTACCCTGTCACGTTCTCTCTTATCTTCTTTAAAATTTATTAATGACGCTCTTCCCGAAAAATAAACCACACAGTAATTCCCGGTCCAGATTGATATAAAAAGTGAGTTCTCAATGAAGTACACTTAAATATTAATATGATTATTTATGAGTTTCTTCATACTCTCAAACAAGCGCACGAGCCAAGTTTTAAATATAAAAATTTTACTATTTACCAGACAAATGATCAAACTCTCGAATGTGCCATTTTTTATTTCAGAGAAATGTTTTCATCTTCCTAGAACCGAAAATTTATTTTTTAAATCCGGAAAACACAAAGCTGTGAATGTTAGCACCAACGGTTTTTTTCCGAGTCTGTTATTTCGGGATGAAATTAAATTACGTTGTTTATCTAATTTTGACGAAATACCACGAGCGGAAAAGAAATCAAACAACATCTCAGGAAAAAAACATATTTTGTACTGAAAACGGAAAGTACATACACATGTTGCTTTTGATGAATCTTTGTTGGAAGTTTTTCTGAATCATCCATAGATTATCTTGCTGTTTGAACATATTGCCTTAAATGTATACAGAGGAAATAATACTTAAGAAGGAAGCGTTCTCACTGTATAAACATATATCACACGTTTGCACTTTGTTTACTTGACGAAGAGGTGCGTCTGTTTAACGTTTTAGAACTTTGCAATCCTTGATTTATTCAGGTGTCTGTTTCTCAGGTGGAACAAAAATTCATTTGTTACGCTGGGAACAAACAGTGTCGAGGCTACAGAAAACATGGAACAAATAATTACTTTGCAAAGGTATAGAAGGTGTTTCACTATTCGAGTTTAGGCCACAATACTAAGGTTTAGTTGAGGTGCACGAATACTGAAAACCAGCGAAGCTGCGATTGAACGTAAGTGTTTTGTTAATTTTTTTTAACAATAGTGTATTAATAAGAAGGTCTTGCATTTAGATTTCCTTTTGGTTTGTGGTTTTCTCTCATGGACGAATCCTATCACTGTTTCTGCAGTTGTCGTTTTTTTTTTCTTTACGAATATCCCATTTAAGGTGATCTACCGGACCTAAAGAACATTTCCATTCCCTGTGGTAGTGGGGAGTCCTTGATCCCGAGTTACATTGCTTATCTATAATTGTGAGTGAAGAAACCACTCGAAAAATGACTGGATGTCTTTGAAAATACTTGAATGAACGAAGTCACAAGTTTAATTGGTCTAATGTAGTTTGCTTCATTAAGGATGTCATTATACTGCGTAGACTTTGTTTGTGAAATTCTCTTTGAGCCTATCAACATAACGTACTAGCACACTAGACGGTGCTAAAACCAAAATCTTAACTTAACTGCTTTTTTTCTTTCGTCAGGAATATGCGGGCCATATTCACCTTCGGTTTTTTTTTGTCAACCTTCGTTTATTTCTGTTCGAGTGATATGTACCTTCATTTCCCCCATGGAAGCAACAACAGATTGAACGGGAACCAGGCAAATGTGAGGAATGCTAACAGGCTTTTCAACTCTCAGGTGGGTGTATTCGAATCAATTATTTACATATTGAACAGCTCGCTATACATGTGGATTAAAAATTGAAAAAAAGAACTTGTTTTTAAAGCACCATACCAGTGATTTCTAATGCTTCACATGCTTGGAAAGTAACACAGCTTTGTTTTAATCCTTGTACTCCTTGGCCAGAGCTAATTAAAATCGATCTTATGCCAAACTCTTGCAAATGTTTCCAACAGACAAATTTCTCAATTTGAATGTTTCCTCTTTATTAACAATAAATTCTCTGGACCAATTAATAAGAAAATGAAAACATACACACACAGTCGTTTGCCGGAAGTGCTGTATAGTGTTGCTCCTATAATCTTATTCCATTTCTTTATTACTCTTTTTTAGAACAATGGTAAAGCCGGTTACAACGTTGGCGACAGTGGAAGTAACAATCCAGGAGAGAACATAAAAGAAACAAGGCAGCTTCCATTGGTTGGATATATTTGATAACTTTTTCTTTAAAGCATATTCTTTAGACTCTATAGGATCAGATTGAATTCAGCCTTAACAATGTTAGAAAATTAAAAAATGCCCTTCCGAAAAATAAAACCGGTCTGTTACCATGACGAAATTGTTATCTTCACATGCATGTGAAGATATAAATACGTGCAGTGCGCGTGGTGAAGAAATCACGTTTCCGAGCCGGAAAAATTCTGATATAACACTAGCTTTTCTTTTTTCTTCAACCGAAGGAATTTTTCATGAGCGGCTGTGAAGAGGATGCAAAAACTGAGGTTGAAATTATGTGGACAAACCAACATGGAACGGGACCAAAGAGTGAAGATGTAGTGGAAACACAAGTCATACTGCAATACATGTGTCAACCTTTTCCAAAAGGAAAAGTTACGGATATAAACTCGGACTTTCAGCTACATACCATTCGCAATGGCGGGAACCGCTTAACTCAACCGTTCAACCCCAATCAAGCAGAAAATCGCTTGATCAAAAAAGACCGCGGATTGCATGAACCGAAGGAATATTATCACGCTTATATCCGCAGGGACAGAAACAAAGGTAAAATGTAACTTCAATA